ACAGCTTGAGGCTCTGTCTCAAAAAAAAAAAAAAAAAAAAATGACCCTCCCAATAAGGTCAGCCTAGTCAAGGCCTCAGATCCCTTAACCAGTGGGGTAGGGTGGGAAACACTTAGCCATCCCGACCTGGGCTGCAGCCCTGGCTCTGGCACCCACTTCTTTGAGGCCCTGGATGAGCGCCTTTGCCTCCCTGCCCTTGGCAGTGAAATGGGGACCATAGCATCCATCTTGATGCTCACCCAGGGAGGCCCTGAGGCCTCATGGGGCCCCCAGGAGTTCACTAGAACCCATTATCCTGCACACTTTTTAGCTCCCAGTTGGGGTGCCCCCTCCCCATAGGTGGAAAAAATGAAGGGAGGCAGGTGGGGGCGTCCACCAGTCAGATGTAGTGTCAAGCTCCTGGCAGGACTACTAAGGAAATGCAGCCCTCCCCTCCCACAGTGCTGGCCCTGAACTCTGGGCCCAGCCATCTGTTGTCCCTGCTCAGGGGGGCTGGCCATGTGGAGCCAGGAGTGAGAAAGGCCTCTGTACCCCTGTGCCAGGCTGCAAGATGCAGGGGTACCCTCTCATTGCAGAGGGAGCTGCCTTCCTACCAGGCCTCTGTTCTTTCTCCCCTCCCCCCCCCTCCAGCATGCTGTCCTCCACAGAGGGAGCAGGCAGTAAATGTTTGCCAGAACAATGAATGAACACGAGGGCTCAGTGACCACAGTCCCCTGCAGGGTCAGGGAGAAGGGTCTGTTCAGCATGCCCTGGCCCCCAGGCTCCCAAGAGCCAACTACCCCCTATGTGTGGATCAGCCAAAGGAAGACTCCTGGAGTCCTCAGCCCAGTTCAGAAGCACAAGGCCACACTGGCTCAGGGTTAGAGCCCAGTGAGAGCCCCTTACTGAGACAGACACGACAGAGCACAGACCCCCCATCCGAGGTATTTTATTACCCATAAACATCAGGGGCAAACAAATGGTACAGAAAGGCCCCTGGGCCCAGTTCCTCTTTGGGGGGACTCTTAGGAATAAGCAAGAAAGCAGAGTAAGGAAGAAAGAGGGAAGCCGTGACCCGGGCTGTGACTCAGTCACATAGCCTAGCAGCTAGTGGTTCATCTCCCAGGGTCACTGGTTCACCTCTGCAAACCAGGGCACAGTCCAGGCTTAAGCTTCTTGAGGGCACAAGTGGCATCTGGTATCTTTCTTGCTTCTGAAACTTTCCCATGCCAAGCACAGTGTCCTGCATGGGATAGGTGTGTGATAAATGAAGATCTAGAGGATGCAAACAGGCCTCTGAGGAGCTCTCACAGCCATGATTTCCCAGGAAGAAAACGCATGCTTGGTAAGGTCAAGTAATTTGCCCAAGGTCACATAGCTGGTAGACCTCAGAGCCAGGATGTGCCCCCAGTCTGGCTCCTGAGCTGTGCTCCTGACCCATCTGCTCTGCTGCCTGTCTGTCACATACTTAGTATTCTCAAAAACAGTAAACACACACTCACATAAATGACACACACACAGAGCACATAAGACACTGCCTGTGTTCACAGGCATATGAAATGCCAATTTATAGACACTGTGCACAAGCGCATGCACACACACACACAGAGGAATGAATGTCTAGCCACTCCCTTTCTCAGCTGACAGCAGAGCAGGATGGGCTCACCCAGAGAAAGGAGATCTCTGTGGTTTCAACAGGAGCCCCCTCACTACTTCGTCCCCTGATCCAGCTCCTAACCCCTAGGCATCCCTCCAGGCAGCCAGGTCAAGCACAGGAAGTGTGCTACAGTTGACAAAGTCCCGGGGAAACGAGTTGGACATGAAGATGTTGTTCTTGGACACAGTGGCGATGCCTGTGTTGTCGCAGATGATGCGGGGCAAGGAGATGTTGGCCAGGGCTTGCTGCTGCTGCGTGCTGAACACGCCCTTGTTCTCCCACCAAAACCTGCACGGGGAACACCATGGACACTGTGCCTGCAGCTCCCTGGATGCGCGAGGACCATGGCAGCCACCGCCCAGCAGGACAGGAGAACCCCAGGTCCTCGGGCAGCCCAGGGCTTTCAAGCTGATGGTCCCCCTCTCCCAGAGCAGAGTAGAGCATGGTTGCCCAGTTGCCTCTCCCTCGCTCCAGCCCTGTGCCTGCAGAGCCCTGCCAGTGCTGTGGGGGGGAGTCCCCCCCAACTCATGAAACCCTGGGCCCTGGCCCAGGGCTGTATCCACAGGGGTGGCTTATAATTTGTCCATCCAGAGAGGGGCACCTATTGCTAATTTTCCCAAAGGTGCACACAGGCTAGGAAAGATGTCAGGATTATGATGAAATGGCACTAAGGAAAGTCATGGGAAAGCTAAGATGGGACTGTTCAGTGGTGACTGTGACTACACAGTAAAACCCAAAGGAACAAGTAGTTAAGAGTGCCATTTTTTTTTTTCTATCTTCCTTCCTTCACAGCCAGGGGTCCAGGTCACTCCTTGGTATACCCCCAATAAGTTCAGGGCACATTAGGGATGACCTGGAGGGTCCCTGGAGCCCACTGAAAAATCACTGACTCCTTCCAGCTCTTCATTTGACAGGAGGAAATTGGGGCCTTGAAAGGGTTCACGATAGGCTCCCGCCCCCCAGAAGGCCTGAACCACCCCCCTCACCTATCGCCATCCCGGAGCTTTCTGAATTGGGTGCCAATGAGGCAGGCGAGGAGGGGGCCCACACGGCCACCAGGTTTCAAGGGCTCAGCCACACCGCCCATCCAGATGTCAATATTGTTGGGTGTGCCGTACTGTGCCATCAGCTTCCTTGCCAAGTCTAAGTTCCTCAGCACCGTGCCCAGCTCACCCACCGTGCTAGGCTGCGTTAGTCCACAGAAGCGCCTCCAGGCGTTGTACCCTGCAGGGGGAGGGGGTGGGTGGTTGTGGGTGGGACCCTGTGCTGCAAGGTGGAGAGGTCACTGAGACAGCAAGGGATGTTCACATCTGTGCCGTCAGCCCAGAATACCCACCTCTCCAACATGCCAACGTCATAGAAGGGAGGATGTCTCCCTAGGGAACCCTGAACTTTCGAACCCGCTCTGTCTTTCCCTTACAGTCCCACCGTAAGACAAACCCTAAATTGCCAGAACTCCCGCCAGGTCCAAGAACAGGAACATTTCATTGTCCCCCTCTGGAGCAACCCAATGTGTCTCTCTGATCCAAGAGGGGTGAAATGTGTCTAGAAGCCTCAGCCACACCCAGCACTCTGTGATACAGGCACAGGTGTTAGGGTTGGGCTGATCTAGGGTCAAATTCTAGCTTTGTCTCTGGCTAGAGGACCTGGCCAGTTTCTGAGTCTTTCCAAGCCTGAGTTTCCTCCTCAGTAAAATGGACACAATAATAAACCTCAGAGTTCATGTACAATGAAGCACAGTGAAATGGCTATGAAGACCAATCTTCAGACTGTGGGTCATTGTTATTATTATGGTAACCTGCATATGAGGGCTACAGCATGAAGATGAGGCTGAGAGGAGCTGAAAATTTGCCTCACAAGTGCAAAGAAAGATAGAGGCCTGACCTTAGACTACTTCCAGAGAGCAAAGCATGGGGTGGGGGAGAGCTGGGGGCAGCTTGGAGCACTGGAGAGGGCAGGGGCCCTAGAGTGGGGAGAGGAGCTACCGGCTACCTGGGAGGGTAAGGGGCAAGGGATAGCATGGGGGTGGCAGGCGAAATTCCTGTAGCCCCTCACCTGGGAGGCCGTGGTCCCGGCTTCGCTGCATGTTCAGAGCTGGCAGGTCCAGCCCGATCCTCATGACCTGCTCAAACAATCGCTCTCGGATCTCATCGACCACAATTTGGTTCTGCCGATTCAATTTGGCAGGAGTGGCCATGAGGCCCCGGAGGATGGGGTCAATGCCACCTGGGAACGAGAGGAGCAGAATGGGAGCAGGATCTGGCTCAGTATGAAAGCTCAGACTAGAATCAGGAAGGAGTCCAGATGGGGTCAAGGGATTGGAGAAGAGGGCTGGGCACAAGCCACACCTGGTGCCAAGGTGGCCTCAGTGAGCTGGCCTCTACCAGTCACTATATGACCCCAGGGGCACATAGGTCTCAGGGGATTATGCCAGGTTAGGAGGCTCCTAGTCCCTGACCTCTTGGGTCACAGAGAGTCACAACACATAAGAAGGAGCCAGCTCCCTCTAAGAGCGATCTCTACCCCACTTTATTATCAGACCCAGGAACAGAGTCAGACCATCTCCTCAAAGATGGAAGGAAAGCAGCTTTCATACCACCCTAGCTCCTCTCACTGCAGCCAACGCCACCCCCAGCCCATTCTCAGCTGCCAGCCCACTCTCTCCTGGCCCAGGTCCCACTCACCTTCCAGCACTACTCTCCAGCTGGCAAAAAAGACCTTGCTGAGTGGGACGCGGGGGTTGGGCCCCATGGGCTGGTACCGATTATCCAGGCGGAACATGAAGGGTTGGATGAGAGTGTGGCCATAGCGGAAGGCGTTGGTGAAGACATTGGCAATGCGTGGGTCTACTGAGTCATTGTAGCCACGATACTTGGGCAGGTACTTCCTCATGGCCTCTGGCCCCAACACCAGGGGCAGGTAGTCCCGGTAAGTGATGATCTAAAGAAAAGTCACCTGGAATGGCCTCTCCACTCATTCCTCCCTGCAGTCTCCACCTGCTTCTGGCTTGAGGGATCCCTCCTGTCCTCCATCTGTGATCAAGAAATCACTTCCCACAACTTTGGATCTGGGCCTAACTGTGGTACTGAGGGGCATGAACACAGCTCTCTGCTTGCTGGCTAGGGGATCTCAGACCATTAATAACCTCACCAAGCCCAAGTTCTTCAAATGTAAATTAAGGATAATTATATTGCCCTCTTTCTTAGAGAATTAAATAACAAAGCACTTCATTAGTCATTATGATACCTCCCTCGCCCTGGAGTTATTGATGTCTCCTTGAGAGCAAAAGAAATTGAAATTATTCACAGTGCCCACCCACAGCCTGGCCCATGGTAGGGCTCAGAATAGGTTTGTGGAAGGAGGCTTGGCGAAGCAGGAAGGAAGGAATGAAGAACCACTCCAGCGTAATTGCCACCATGAAAAGGAAAGATGTGGAACAGTCTCACTCTAGATTCTAGACTCCAGAATCTCCTCTGAAGCTTAAGTGAATCTCACTTGAGTGCTTAGTGCAAATCAAAAACTCATCCTCAGCACCTGCAACTTCCTACCCCTCCAGAATCCAAGGGTGCGTGTTTATGTGTAGGCGTCTGTATTCAAATCTCGGGGAGAAGATGTGGGCCCTGAGGCATCTGAAATTGGGAGAAAGAACCAAGAACACTGTCCCAGGGATAAATGAGGCTGAGGGGTTTGGGTGTGTTCCAACATCACAAGGAAGAAGTGAGTGGGTAAAGGACCCAAGAATGACAATGAGGAGGGGAAGGAGACACACTTCCCCCAGCTACTATGTGTCAGGCACTAGAACACCTGTTCAACCCTCTGCCACCATTCCTGGACCCACGGGAAAAAGACACAGAGGAGCAAGGCTCGAAAGAAGGGGAGGGAAGGGAAGGAGCCTTTGTCAAGCCCCTAATGTCTGCTAGGTGTTTTCCTGTGTGTCCTTTCATCCTTACAGGATTGGGAGTGAAGAAACCAAGGTTCAGAGGGGTTAATAACTTGCTCAAGGTCACACAGCTAGGATATTGCAGATGCATGCAAGATCCCAAGTCAGCCCAATGCTCAGGACATCCTACCTGGACCATGGCCCCCACGATCTTCCGGGCTTCCTGGTAGAGCTTCTCTCCATCCCAGCGGGGGTTCAGGCGCTTGAGCTGTGTGGCCAGTCGATTGTGCTCCCGCAGAAAGAGGGTATGCATGGAGGTGAGCTCGGGCATCTCACTGGAGCGGGTGTCCCCTTAGGAAGACAAAAGCCACCGTCGTTCCTAAGAGCTCCATCCCAGAAAACATTTATTCCACTGACACACCCTCACCAGCCGAGGGCCAAAATGTCTCCCACTTGCCCCTCCTCTCCATCCATCTTTTCACACCATGCTCAATTTATGCTCCTGTAGGAGGCCTGCCCTGATGCTCCAGTCTGCCAGAACAGCTTCTTCCTCTGCTTAGGGGGCACTGCTGGTCATTCAATAGGTATCAGAGCTGACACACGACTTGCTACCTTCCCATACCTGAAACTGAGCCCATGGCCTTTTTGTATTTGACACTCTCTCCCAAGATACATATAGACACATGGGGCTTAACAGAGGGATGCCTGGTACAAAGTGTGAGATTTATGAACACTGCCTGGCTAACTGATTCTTTTGATTCAGGGAAGGCCAAAAAGTAGCATGTGTGTTGGCACCGCCTATCTCCATGCCTGTGTCAGAAGCACTTCATGATCACAACACTCTTTCCTGCTAAAACTCGATGCAACCTCAGAATCCTTCTCAACACAGGACTCCAGAAAACTGCCACCGTTTGAATAGAGTTATCAGCCCATCCTTACTACATGCCAGTGGTGGGGCTTATTCCACAGAAGGGGTCTCAGGCCCAGGATGTGCATAGTCTACACCTGAGACTCTGTTCAAGAAAGCTAAGCAAGATCCCTGATTCCTCTAACCCTCCCCCAACCCTTCTCTGGAGGGACCAGAGAGGTAGGGTCAGGGCCATTTCAGCAGGACACTAGGTTCAGTCCCTGCCAAGTCTAGAAGCTGGTAGAAATTCTCTGAGAGCAGCTTCTCCATCCATGAGCCTGGAACATGGGGTTCATTAAAGCCAGGCTGGAGGTGGCTGTGCCTGGCTGGGGGATGTTGTCCTTACCCAACTAGCCCAGAAGAGGCCAGGCTCCTTCCCCAGGAAGTCCACAATGGCACTGACCTTGATTCTCCTCCCAGGGGGAGACCTATTGAACTCTTCCACCTGAGATCGGTGCTGACTGGGACAATTGATTTGGACCTCTTGAACTGGGTCAATCACCTGAGGACTACCCAAAGTAGTACCCTGGGTGTGTGGTTGTGGGAAGGTTTGATTTTCCTTTTCCAGTTGTTGCCCGTTGTGGGGCTAGGTGACTTAATTGCTGGTATTTCTCCACAGCTGAGGCTTCAACGCAGAGTAACTGATTACTAAGGTAGGACAGAGACCAGCTGAAAACAAGACAGAGCCTCCCAGGGGCCGAGCCAGGGAGAGACCCACAGGAGCTACAGGGGCAGAGGTGGGGGCAGAGGAGGCCAGAAGAAATGGCCTCAGGCCCACTAATGGGTTTATGCTAAAACACACAGGAGACTAGATATGGTGGTGGCTCATGCCTGTGAGCCTAGCACTCTGGGAGGCCGAGGTGGGAGGATTGCTTGAGGCCAGGAGTTCAAGACCAGCCTGATCAAGAGCAAGACCCCGTCTTTACAAAAAATAGAAAAATTAATTGGGTGTGGTGGTGTGCATCTGTAAGTCCCAGATATTCTGGAGGCTGAAGCAGAAGAAACGCTTAAGCCCAGGAGTTTGAGGTTGCGGTGAGCTCTGATGATACCATCACACTCTAGCTTGGGTGACAGGGCAAAACTCAGTCTAAAAAACAAAAGGAAAAGAAAACCTAGAAAATTTCTGGCCACAGCTACCATCACTGCCCCAGCCATCTCCAAAATTGTCAGTATTTATGAGGAGCAATCAAGATGGGAAGGAAGTGATATCCTGGAGCAGTACTGTCCAATAGAACCTTCTGAGGTGATGGAAATGTTCAACATCTGTGCTGCCCGACAGGCGAGCCACTAGCCATGTGAAGTATGGCTGGTGCAGCTGAGAAACCGGGCTTATTTGATTTATAATAAAATTAAAATAGCTGCATGTGGCTAGTGGCTACCCCACTGGACAGTGTGAGCTCTAGAGGGTGAGGGCACAACAGTACTCTCTGTCCCTTTAGCGCTGTGTCCCCAAGGACTCAACTTTCCTCTCCTCCAGAGTTCACAGGGAGAAAGAGGGACAGAGAAAGTGATGGACCTACGGACAGAGGCTCCTCAGCCATCCTGTGTCTCCATCTTCAGTTTGGGGTTGGGGAGGGTTGTTTGGGTTTTTTTGCTTTTCTGGCTCCATCCAACTTGTTACCAAGGCAACCAGATTACTATCATGAAGTTGGTGAGGACAGTCTCTCTAAAAACAAACCCACAAGCTGCTCACAAACAGGCCTTACTGGCTCCAGCAGGGAATACCGCCTGTGCCAGGCCAGGTCCCCAGCCCAGAGCTGACCTGCCAGGAAGCAGGGGATGCGCACAGAGCGGTTGGTGAGGAGACAGGGGTCATCGTGCAGAGTGTCGAAGGGCAGCAGGGCCCGGCCGTTGTCTTGGTAGTCGGTGTTGACGGCCAGCAGCCCTAGCTGGTTGGTGGTGTTACGCAGCTTCATGGCCAAGGGGTCCTCGCTGCCGTACACCATGCTGGCGTCCAGGAAGGCGGTGAGCGCGTTGATCTGGTTGCGGATGGTAATGTTGCTCTCAGTGCAGGCCGGGCAGGAGCGGAAGAAGGGGATGCAGTCTTGTTGGTTCTTGATGCGAGGGTCATTGGGTGGGATCTGAGGCATGGAGAGAGGCCAGGTCAGCTCACTGAGGACAGAGGCAGTGGGCATAGGTGGCTCTCCCTCTCCCTCAGGACCTCTGGTCCCATCAACCTCTGAGGTTCAGGGTTGATGACCAGGAACAGGGAATGTGGGGAGCCCCCGACGCCACTGCCCTCCTCCTTGCTGAACCGGCTCCTGTCTCTCTTCTAGGTCTGTTCCTTCCTCCCTCCCCTCCTCTCTAGAGTGGTCTCTAGACTCTCACTCTATCTCCTTCTTCCTTCCCCCCCCCCCCGTCTCTGTCCCTTTCCTGTCCCTCGCTCTGGCCTTGACATTGTCCTGTCGTTCCTGCCCTCTCTCTCAGACTGTCTCCTTTCTCTCCTTCTCCCTACTCAGTACCTGCCTCAACCCTCGCCCTCCCCCAGCCCACTCTCAGCCCTACTCCCAGCTCCCGCCTAGACCCCAGCTCTCTGCTATGCAATGTGGGTGTGGGGAAAGGCCCCTCAAAGGAGTACCAGCCACCTATTCAAGAAAGTTTGAGGGACACTGGGAAGATGCTCCCCCCCAGAATTCTCTATCAGCCTAACAAAGAGCTAGTAATCCCGCCAACAGGATCCTTTGGTGGGGGGTGGGGAGAAATTAGCATCGCTCTCTTCCCAGCCTGGGAGAGGCAACAGATGAGTGGGATGCCCAGCCTGACTGCCGCTGGGATCCTGGCACCAGGAACCAGACAGCACAGAGCGGGGCAGGCATTGCCTCTGGTCACACCAGGGCTGTGGAAGGAGACCTGGGCACAAGAGGGAGTTGGGCACTTTCAGGAACAAGATCCTCACTCCCCACCGCAGGCGGGTGGGCAGGAAGAAGGGAGCACCTTGAGCGGGAAGCAAGGCGGCTGCTGCAGGCAGCTGGTCTCACAGTTGAGGCCAGTGAGGAAGGAGACCCGGGCGGCTGGCTCCGGGGTGAAGTCGAGGTCGTGGTCGATCAGCTGGCCCCACTGCATGAACAAGAGCGAGCGCTCCTGGTCCGGGGTCAGCTGCTCCGTGGGGAAGCGCACGATCTCATTGGAGACCGCACGAGCCTACAGGACAGGGGACGTCAGGGGCTTCTGGGACCCGAACGCAGCGTGGGGCCTGGCCTCGCCCCCTCTGCCTGCCGGCGCTCACCAGGGGCACCGGGAAGCCGGCGCGCTTGACCCCCGGGGTCCAGCCAAAGGGCAGAGAGAAGCCGTCCTCATACTCCGCCGGCAGCCAGCGCGCAAAGGCGCGGTTGGAGGCCCCCAGCGTCTGGCTGCGCCTGCAGGGGAGGACAGGGCGCTGACGCGAGGTGGCGCCACAGGCCCGACGTGGGCCCCGGGGACCCGGACGCCTCCCTGAGCCCGGCTCAGGACCACACCCGCCCGCTGCACCTGTTATTGCACCGCCCAGTGATGGTGCGGTACTTGTCCTGCTCTGGGCACGTCACGGCCACATCCTGGTAGGCGCAGCCGCTTGACTTCGACAGCAGAGTCAGCTGCGCCGGCGTCAGCACATCTGTGAGAAGAGAGGATGTGGGAGCTTCAGCAACCTGAGATTGAAAAGACCCTGAGAGGGGCTGGACACCGGAGGGGATTCTGGGATGCCCCCTGAGACTCCATGAAGGGAGAAGTTGAGGGGATCACCAGGAGGTGGCTGGAGTCTCTAGGAGGGGTCACTAGCGGAGCGAGGACCTGGGGTGAGATGGACAACAGTACCGGTAACATTGAAGGGCCCTGGCCACAGGGACCGCAGCTTCACCTCCAGCAGGCCTAGAGCCACATGCAGGTAGTCAGCAGACCTCACGGCAGTCCTGGTGGCAGCCACAGGCTGCTTGAAGTAGGACAGGAGTTCCATGGGGCTGGCTGAGCCACTGCGAAGCCGCTGCTTGATGCTGCTTGGAGAAAGGAGGTGTGAGGGGCCCAGAAGGGTGCACAGACACTCAGCAGAGCCCCAGCCCAGGGACTGACGCCAAAATGATATAGACAAAGCCACGATGGGAAGAAAATTTCTTTTTTTATATATTTTTCTGTGGACCTGGGTGTCTAGACAGAGGTAAAACCATGGGAAGAATGGTTTTGAAGATCTTATATCCAGAGACACAGGACAGACAGAGGGTTCTCCATGAGCCCCCATAGACCCCCCCCCCGCCACACCACCTATAAACTCCCACTGCTCCTTCTCTGAAAGGCCAGGGACAGCCTTGCCCAGAGCTGCACAGTGCCGGCACCACACCTTTCCCTCCGCTCCTTGTAGGCCTTGTCCACCAGCCTCTTGGCCTCCTTCATGCAGGTCAGCACCACCGAGGTCTCCACCTCCCCTGGGATAGCTGTCCAGAGCAGGGGTCACAAAGTCAGAAAGGGCCCAAAGCCCTCATCAGGCCCCAGAGCCAGGGAGCCTGCACTGAGAAAAGGGTCCCTGGGACTCAGAACCATCCCAACACACCACGTTTCCCTCCCCCTTTTGAATGTTACCTGGAGCAGCACCCTCAGAGGGCTGGGACATGGCCAGAATGGCCAGGAGCCCTGCTAGGGCTGAGAGAAGCTTCATCTCTGCAACGAGACCCCCCCAGTCCACCAAGTGCCTTGAGCCCACAGTGCACCTGGAATAACCCACCACCCTCTCCTGCTGGGCCCCTCACTCCCCCCTTCATATCCCAGCCCTACCTCCGTGGGCCCTGTTCATGGACAAAGCCAGACCTCCTTGAGGGAAGGGTCCATAGCAACCCCGTACCTTTCCTAGCTACAGCCACACCCAGCCCCCAAGGACCCAACTCTAAAACTCACCTGACATTGACTGCTTCTCCTAGCTGAATCTGGGCTTTTATGTCCTCTAAGTTGGGGGTGGGGCAGGACAGAGGAGGGCCTATCCCTGTAGACTGAACTATGTCTCCACCCCCCACTGGGGTTGGGGGACACATGGAGGGGCTCCTGAAATGGGTGCAAGTGGTAGGAAAGGAGGAACCCCAGCCTTTGAACTTAGCACTCCCGCTCTGTGGTTTCTCAGCTCCCTGTTGTGTGCCTAGACCAGTGCTGTCTCCAAGGGATACACACAGCTAATCCCTCTGAATTTCTGGTTAAAATGAGTGTCCAGGGCTCCTTTTAAAGGAACAAAAGTCAGGAACCAGTAGCCTAAGGAGTTATGGAGAATAGAATAGCCCCAAGTAAAAAGGGAGAGGAGTGATGATGTCCCAATTGGCCTAAGAGGCCGTCCCCCACTCCAGCAGTGACCTGTGTTCTAAATTACCCCTGGTGGGCAGCCCCTGGTTCTTAGTGGGGCTAAGAGGACAGGAAATCTGGCTAGAGACCGTTGGGCTTCACAGGAAGGAGGACCCTGGGGGTATGGGCTCAGGACCAAGATAACTTCCTCTATTCCTCCTTCCTCCTCTTCCTTCTTGGCTTGGGGGGGGGAGGTTGTCTCAAAACCATCCCCTGACCCCAAAATCTGCTCCTGGATTTCAGTAACCAGGAGAGAGCAGAGCTGGTTGTGGTTAGTAGTCAGTTGGGTGATATAGCTCAAAGCCTCTCTGGGACAAGATCAGTGCAGTTGGGAGGATTTGGGTTAATGATTCAGGATCATTCTGAAATAGAAGAGGGGAAAGCTTCACCCTTGGGAAAGGCTGGCAGAAGGGCTTCCATTCTCACATAAGAAAAGTACATTTCACTTATGACTGTGTCCATCCTCCTGCTTGGGCCCTGGTCAGGGTGAGTACATGCCAGCCATGGCACCTAGGTCCTGTTTGGGTCTAGCCCCACCTACCTTCAGCCACCTTCCTGCCATTCACTTTCATCTTCTATGCCCAGACCACATTTCTGCCAAGAAATAAAGAAGAAAAACACATCCAGAACACCTTCCCCACGTACTCAGGGAGCCATCATTTGCTGGGCAGCAGAACCCAGAGGCCAGTGAGAGAGGAGGCCATTCTTCCTTCCAGCCTTGATCTACCAGTATGTGAACTTGGTCAAGTGGATCTTTGTAAATCAGGTTCTAGAATTTTATAGGTTTTTGGAAATACTTTTTTAATCCTATAAGCAATATATTTTCATTGATGAGAACTAAGAGAACCCAAACAGGCAAAAATAAATCAAAATTACTTATAATCAGGTAAGACTGTGGGAAATTTTTTTTCTTTCAAAATTTATCATTGTCTTTCATATAAATAACCAGAAAGAGAATAATTTCCCACAATCCCACCACTCATCAATACCCCATAGTTTGACATCCTATATGCATATATAATACATTTTTTTAAAACACGCTAAGAACAACTTTAAATACTGTTTTATAAGCTACTTTTAGTTTTTAACAATTTTATCCTGGACATCTCTCTATGTCAATAAATAGAGTTTTACTTGATTTTTATGTCTGCATAATGTTTTGTATACATATTTTATATAATTTATTAACTAGTTCTCTCTTGGTAGACACTTGAGTTGTTTCAAATTTTCATTATTATAAAAAGTACTAGGATGAACATCTATGGAGTTAAATGTCACATCTTTAGTTATTTCCTTAGGCAAGAAATTTTAAAAGTAAACCTGCTGTGTATTTGGGTATGAACTTTTAAGGCTTTTTAATATTTAATATTTATAGTTCAATGGCCTGTGAAGATTGTACTTCATCTGTCCCTGAACGAGAGCACCCGTTCCCCATCACGCCCATCAACCCTGAGCGTTAGTACCTTTTTACTCTTTTAGGAGAATTGTCAAGACTCATGAGGGAAGAGGCATTTAAGCCTCTCTCAGCAGAGATGAGAAAGAGGGAGCCCAGGGAAGGAGACCACGTTGCTAAGGGCAACAGTGTAGTACAACTTGGACTAAGCTCAATGTCAGGTCTCTTGACCTAATCAGTGCTTTTAACCCACTTGCCTCTGCACACTATTCCTGATCTTGCCTTTAATCATTTATTCAACAGGTATCAATCAAGCTCTGGTCAGGTACTGTGTTGGGCATCCTCCATTGAACAACATATAGGCCTTGTCGTCAAGACGCTCACAAAGAAGGCAGAACAGTGGCACCCCAAGAGCTGTGCCATGTTCTTCATGAGTATCGAAGAGCAGAAGTTGGATCACCTGGGAGTAGGGGAGCAAGGAAGGCTTTCTTGAGGAGCTGATGCTTGAGACCATCTTAAAGAATGTTTGAAGTTGACCGAATGGACACTGGGGAGGAAGAGCATTCTGGACCCAGAGAATGACCCAGCAAAGGCCTTGATGCAGTGAGCCTCACTCAGACAGTTCTAACACAGGGGTGGGAGCTAGGGAGGTGGGAGGGAGGCCGAGCAGACTGGCAGAGGCCCAGGATGTAGCACTCTTGCTGACCTACCTTGACATTCTTGTCCTGAAGCCCTAGCGAGCCAGGAAGTCTCAGAAGCAGGGAAATGCACGGTCCCAGTTAGGGCAGCAGTGTGGGGAGCACTGGAGGGGCAGGCCCAGACACTGAGGGCTGGGCAGGCAGCATCACAGTGATTCACGCCTGTCAGGAGGCCTGCTCTGCTTTCTCACAGGCAGCAATGGGGCAAGGAACGGTTGAAAAGCTAAAGCATTTTCAAAGAAGGAGGTTAAAATTCCCTTAGGTCTCTACTCTCATGCAAGTGAGAAAATTCTCCTGATGCAGAATCCCCAAACCCTGACTGAGGCTGAGGGCTGAGTCTGTGGGCCTGCAAGTGAGTGCAGGGGCTGGGGATGCTGGGTGAGTTTACAATGTTTGCAACCATTAACAAAGACCCAAATGGCGTCACCACAAAGCTGTCAGCCGCCTCTGCTTGTACCTTTACTGGTCCCTCATCTAGGCCCCATTTGTCTGGCCCTGGTGTGTTTGAGGCTTCTCAGCATGCAGAGTAACCAGAAGGAGACTATGGGGGAGGAGGGAGATATTCCAAACAAGCCTTGTCTCCATAAAATACCTTCCAGCTCCTCTTCCCGGGGGTGGCCTCTGGAGGGCACTGCTGGAACTGCTACATGTCAAAACTATAGTCATTTGCAGGTAACACCCCTACATACACACGCCACCCTCTCTCCTACCCACTCAGATTTACCAAACATCACCCCCAGGGTAAAGCCTAACTGCTTGTGGGATAACTGCTTGTGCCCCTCTGGCACTACTTGCAAAACAGCTTGTTCTTTCCTAATTGTTCAGGAAACAATTCAGTTGGGGGGATTACAGCCAGATTTCCTGTGGAAGGGGGGTGGAGAGAAGGAGGCACCCCAAAAGGTTATGGAAGCTAGGAAGGTGCAGGGGCCGTAAGTGCTCAGACATGCAATTACACCCAGTTCACGGATCTCCTTTAACATTTTTAAAATTAATTTTGAATTCTATCGGTAATACTTGGATATCTTTTGAATAAAATTTCAACTTCTTGACCAGGTTAAAGCTCCTTTAGATTAAGTTATTGCATCATCCCCAATTGCAGTCCCCATCCTCCACTCTATAGACATAAACGCTGTTATCATTTTCATGTTTGTGCTTCCAAACCTTTTATATTTTATTTATTTATTTATTTATTTAT